CGGCGGTGTGCGGGGTCCCCAGCCCGGGCCAGGGCCAGGACGGGCAGCTCGCCGGCCTGTCCCTCTGCAGTCACTCACGCTTGCCCTCTCTCCCCCTCCAGGTACTTTTAGGTTGAAATACGCCCCTCCAGCCGAAAGTCTGGACTCCACAGACTGATGTTTTTCTCTGGCAACAGAAAGTTAAGCCATGGAGTCATAAAGCAAACACAAAACTGAGACGTCTAGTTACTGTTGAGCTTACTGTTTTTAATCCAAAGGTGCTTTACTTGACTAGACTGGATAGAAAATCTAGTGTAGACGCGCATCAAACGATTCTATTGCCAAAATCCTAGATTGGAGCTCAAAGTCAGGACTCGCCGATGGGCCGCCCGCGGTTGGTGACGCATCGTCTACACCGCAGTCTCCTGGAGCGTCGCGTCGCTGGTCCTTCCAGGCTCACACACAATTCCAGGGCAGCTATGCGGTCTGATCGGGAGCCCCGGCCTGGACTCTGGACACCCCTGGGTCAGGGAGAATGTCAGCTTCACTTTGTTTCGTTTCCTTTTGTTTTCCCTAAGTGACTAGGCACCGATCTCTGGGATTTTAAGGGTCGCACTGTGGAAGGGCGTAAGCCGCTGCGGACCTCTGCAGGCTGGGAGACTGCTCCGACCCCAGTTGTAGCGCCGGCACCAGCAAGCAGCTAGGCCTCATCCGCAGCAGAGGTTTCAGTACGTCCTTCCCTCTTGCAAATGTTTGTAGCAGTTCCAGGCTTTTAAGTTTTTTCCTGCAGATAAACCTAGACTACGTTCATACATAGAAATAGTTCATTCTCAACAACTTTATTTCTAAGGGTCCAAGGCCCAGGGAATCCAGTCGCTGCGGCCGGCAGTGCTTCGAGCCGCTCTGCACCATAACCGACTCCTGCAGGACACCAAGCTCGGCGCTGGAGTCGGCTGTGGCCGGTGCTCCTCGCCCTTAGGGGAGCTGGCAGGCGGTCACTTCTGGGGGTCCTGGGATGCCAGCCACAGGGCCGATGCTGTCAGAGTCCCACTCGAGGCAGACACTTGAACAGTAGTGGTCCTGCAGCTTAGGAGCCAGATACCCGGGGCTGTCCCATCAGCTCTGCTGAACTCGGCTATGCTGATCCCCAGTTCCGTCTGCTCCGAGGCGTCTGGGAGCTCAGCGACCCTGGGCAGTCAGACCGAAAGTCGCGCGTCTCCCCTTGGTAGAGTGAACGTCCCCCTCACTCCAGGCCTCTGCAGTTTCACCCACGGGACTAACAGCATTTTGGTCTGAGACTTACGGACTTCAGTCTTCAAGGTTAAAGGGAATTTTCTTTTCAAAAAGCAAAGTCTAAAATGCTAACGCCTTCAATATTAAAATATTGATTGGTAGAGTCTTGCCAGGGGTTTTCCAGTTGAATATTTGTTAAGAAGAGAATCACAGTATTCAGACCATTCGTAAAACAGGACAATCAGCCTCACACAAAATTGTCATAAATCAGAAAAATAAAAAACCCTAGAATTTGAGGCATTGTGATACGAGGCTTCAAATTTTGAGATCGGTTTCCTGACTTCATGGAAACTAAAGCAGAAAGTTGTTACATTTTTTATGAAAGGCTTTTAGTAGAGTTTTGTAGTATTATTTTAGTAGAATTTTATTTCTATGCAATGCAGAATTGACAGACCTCTGTGTTCTCTCAATGGTACCCAGTATTACATAATTTTGACGTAATGGTGACGTTTACTGCAACAGCTGTGAGGGGTGTTACGCTGATCTCTTAAACACTACGAAATGTCAGATAATGAGAACCGACACAACTTTGCCTTAAAGAGTACCAGACTGGAATTTGTCATTACGTTAAAGGAAGACTTGGAGTGTTCATTGATGTTTACGATTTTAATATTTCTGAAGGCCATTACAGTGGCCCGGATATGTGCTGAAAGCCAAACTTTTAAATTTTTTGGTTTTTTTAAACAAAGAAATATTTTAAATAAATCCTGTTTCAACACAGTGAAATTGTTGAAAACTGTCTCATAGCAAGAGAAAAATAACATTTCAGTTTTTTGTTTTAGTGGTCAGTATAGAATGAAAGTTGTCTGTGTTACCCTAACAACTATTTTGATAAATATTAGAGGTTTAACCTGCAATACAACAGAAACTTCCGTTTGAAGTGTGACACTCAAGAGTTGAGGTTGTGAGTTCTGACTTTGTCCCAGCCGTGTTCTGGCCATCAGAGGTCCTCGGAAAACCTCCAGCTGGCTCGGGAAGCGGCGTGTAGTGGCCTCTCGAGGACTGGGCCATGTGAACGAGGGATTCGCCGGGCAGGAGACTCCACTGCCGACCTCCGAGCGCTCCCGAATGAGCCCTGTGTGCGCAGCATTTTTCTCCAAAAGCAACCAAAGTCAGGATGCCGGAAGAGCATTTGTCCACCAGTGCTGGTCAGCCACACAGCGCACTGACCCTTCTGAGCCCTTTTGCTGAGGTGCGGACTCCGTGCTGTGTGGCAGGTGGGTTGGTCTCCCTCTGCGAGTCTGTCCTGCCTTCCGTGTCTAACCCTGCGCTTCTGTCTGCCAGAATGGGGACAGTGGAGTGTACAGCCCGACCAGAACACGGTGTCGGGATGAAGCAACTATTTAACCTGTTTTTTTTAAGCAAAATACTTCAATTTTTCTACCTTATTTTCTAATTTTTATTTCACAGTAATATCAAAAATTGGAAAGATGTTTAATGTTAAATTCCTAGTTGCTAAAGAGCAATGAGGAATGGGAGGTAGCACTTAACAATAAAGATAAACAGTATTTTCTTGAACGCATACATGTGATTGGGTATTCAACCAACCAGCATCCTCTGTCATCTCCTCAAGATTACAGGAGTCGCTTGCTTCTGCGTAGTTGTAGGGTCTGTACTTTACTCACTAGTTAGGGTTCTAGGTCCCGTACTGCAGTCTGCCTGGTCTGCACCACCCATGTGCCCAGGCACAGAGGCAGGGGCAGCACCTCTGCCTAAACATCATCCCCTCCATGTGACTGACACTCAGGCACTGCCCAGGGCGTCGGGTCACACGTCCTTCTCCGTCCTCTCCTGTTCCTTCCTGCTTCCCAGTTATCTTGTCCAAGGCCTTGCTAGTTTCCATCCTGGTGGTGTTAGCTGCTAGTCTTCTGAGTAGCCATGTGAGCAAGGGATTCACCGGGGTGGCTGTGTCCTTTCCAGAGTGTAGGTGACTCCCAAAGAGCAAGTCAGGGGACACAGAGTGCAGGGACTAACAAGGCTGGGCTCTCACACAGTCCCGGGAGGGCCTGTGTGGAAGCGAATGTTCTAGAACCACAGGCTGTGCTGGTCGGGGCCAAAGATCCCAGGCACTGTCCTGCCGTCTGGGGAACGAGCGGGGGCCCCTGAGCCCGTCACGTTAGCTCTCCTGTGCACACACAGACAAGGCGTTGGTACCAAGACTGCAACCCTTCACGGCTTCTATTGGACATACTTTCTTTTAAGGAATGAAGGAAAATTCTCCCATTTTTGAGCCATTCTTTTGTCAATTCTACAAAATGCATGTAACTTTATAAATATTTTTAAAAGATATAGTTTTGTAAATATTTAATATTCTGCTAATTTGATTTTGAATTGTAAATGTCAAGTATTCTGTTTTTGGGGTTTTTATGTTTTATTATACTTTGTTAAAAAAGAAAAATTGTACATTTTTAGAATGTTTTTATGAGTAAATTTAATGTACTGAAAATAAAAATTTTAAAAAAGCCTCTGTGTTTGATTCCATCGGGTCTTTGGCCGGTCTGCCCCTGCTGTCTCTCCACGTGGGAAGCACAAGGCAGGCTCCTTCTCTGAGGGACAGTGGTCGCCTCGCAGGGCTCCATTTTGAATAAAACTTCTCCCTAGAACAGTGGCGCTCTGCTGCAGCTCGGTCCGCACTTGGCGTTGGCCAGGCTGGCCTGCCCTAGGGGCCCCACACGCTCCTGCCCAGGTGTGCGCTTCTGCCTGGCTGTGCCTGTGGTGGCCGTTCTTGCATCCTTGCTCTGCCAAAGGCCTGGCCAAGTGGAGGCAGAGCCGTGGAGGTGAGGCCCGCCCCCGTGTGCTGCCCACCGTCCGCCCAGAGCAGCCTGCAGGGCCCGTGGCTCAGGAGGCGAGGCTGACAGGTTCGGTTACGCCTTTATTTGCTTAGTGTGTTAAAAAGGTACTGTCCTGAAGATCTCATAAACATCACCCCTCTCAGCACCTGTAAAAAGCATTGTAGTTATGATGGCGTGTACAGTGTGAGGAGACAGGTGGAGTTTACAGCACGTGAAACCAACAGGTTACAGTGAGCAGGGGGACACACATGCGGGGAGGTCCTGGCTGGCAGCCAGTTCTCCCGACAGCCTGAGAACAGGCACCGAGCACGGCCTGCTCAGGTGGTGCAGCTGGCCTTCCTGTGACTCCGTGTCGTGTGTGGGCCGAGCCGGGTGCTGTGGGCGCACCGTGGAGTCCTACCGTCTGCGCATAAGCCCTTCCACGACATCCCAAGTGCCCGCTTGGTGGAGAAGCCCATCCTGTGTCACGGCCACAGGCAGAGGCAGCACGGTGTGGGGATCAGTGCTGGCTTCCACTGTGGCCTTGGGACGGCGCTGGCCACTGCTGCTTCGCTCCCGGCACAGGCGCCAGCTCACAGTCTCAGCCCCAGGAAATCTGAGCAGAACAAGTGCCACCATTTGGGCTGCTTCCCAGCCCCACCCTGTTTTGTGCAAAGGCACTGGGGTTCTGCCCGGCAGCCTGGGCACAGGAAGGGACCCATGTAGTCGGCTCAGGTTGGAAGGAAGCCAACCTGACCAGGCTCTGAGCCAGGGAAGGGCCTCAGTGTCTTGAAAGCCTGAAGTTCAGTTCCTGCTCCAACTGCAAGTTCCTACTAGGGGAAAAGCGTTAAAATAACCGCAGGTCTGTTTTAATGGCAACTTAGGATGCAAAGTATTTTATTTTTAAACTTCTAAACTTTGAAAACAAGGTAGCTGAGGTTAAATAAGAGCTTTCCAAGGCTGAGCGTGCTCGCTGAAACTCAGTTTTCCTTTATGAAATACAAAACTTCTTAAAACTCCCAGGTGGGCACGACTGTCCTGACGACCTGTGATAGAGGAGCTGACCGACCTCATGGGCGACACCTTTTCTCCTGGGTACGGGCTCGGGAAGCTTCTGGCCCGTCTAGGCGCAGGCGGACAGCCCCCTCCCGAAGGTCTCCTGGGAGGCGTAAACCATGTACAGGAAGCCGTCCCCGTCCTTCTCGCTCTCGTACACCTCCGAGATGGGTGTGGACACGCTCACCATGCTGTGGCCATTCACCAACAGGAAGAAGGCCTGGTTGGCGTTGAGCTGCAGGCGCCGCCTACGGAGGGGAGTAGCAGAGAAAAGTGGACAGACTCACACCAGCAGGGTGGAGTGTGAGGCTGTCCCCGCTGCTGTGCCGAGTGTGGTGCTGCGAGGATGCTCAACTCTCCTCTGACCCTCCTGCCGTTCATTCCCCGTGATGACACTGCTCCCCGATACTGACCAGAAGCGTTGGCAGATGGCTCAGCCCCGACTGACCGCTGCTGCAGTCTACTTCTCTTACCAGTGCTTGTGCCACCTTAAAGTGACATCTACACTAGGGGTCGGTGTGGAAGAATCAGGAGAGACCTCAGGACATGGCCACCCACTCAACGGCTGGCTGATCTATGTCAAAACCAAAGGTGGGCAGAGGAGGCGCTGCTCGATGAAACGGGCAAAGGAAGTGGCTCAATACCTGATCTTTTTTTTGGGGGGGGTACCAGGGATCAAACATGGTACCTTGTGCTTGTGAGGCAGGCAGTGGAAGCACTGAGCTAAATCCCCGGCCCATACCTGATGATCTTGATGAGCTCGCTCATGTTGACATGGTCAGGGACGAGGAACTTGGTTTTATCCAGGACAGGCAGCTGCTTCTCACCCTTGTATCGTTCTATGATCACCTAGAGAAGCCAGAGGGACTTAGAAACAGACATCAACAACAAAAAAGCAGCCAGGTGTGTTGGTGCTCGCCTGGGAGGCTGAGGCAGGGGGAGCACAAATTCAAGTGCAGCCCGGGCAACTTAGTGACTCAAAACATAAAAAAGGAGCTGAGGATGTAGCTCACCATGAAGGCTCTGAGTTCATTCTCCAATACTTAAAAAAAAACAAAAAACAAAAAAACAACTAACGTGCTTCCCAGGAGGCAGCTGAGACCTGCCAAAATGGGCCCCAACACGGCACAGCCCTGGCTTTCCCTGGCGCATTCGCACAGGTGGGCAGTCGCCTGTTAGCGCACACCTGTCCCTGACAGAGTGGAGCACGGGGGAAGCACTAGGCTGGCTGTCATTCCGTGTGAATGCGGTGCATCACAAACGCCTGCGTATCAGGGTCCTCAAGCCGCACAGGAACACAAGGCATGGATGCCAGCTTAGAGCTTGCACAGTGCTGTCAGTGCCCTGCCACCGCCCCACGTGTCTTCTGGGAGAGCCCAAGCTCTTCCCTAGGGTCACCCGCGCAGTGTTTCCCACCATGGAGCCCTTTCTCTACCGGGCACGAGAAAATCCCAGGTAAGTACCTCACAGGACGAGGACACGCGACGCGCTGGTTCCAAGGACAAAGTTATACACGGTGCCTCGATGGCCCTCAGCTTTTGTGCCGTGCTGGAGACTGAGCTGGGGCCTGCTCACCGAGCTACAGCCCGGCCCTTTTTCACTTTCTGAGACTCACTAATTCCCTACTTTGCCCACACTGGGCTTGAGCTTGTCATCCTCCTGCTTTAGCCTCCCAGAATGCATTTGCCACCACCCTGGTTGATCCTTTGCTTTTGATAAAATACTTTCTATTTTTTTAATTTTTAAAATTCATATTTGCTGCAATTTGATACATAACACAGAATGGTGCAGATACACGGGAACCGTGTGGTTCTGACACCCGCGTCTAGCCCAGGTCCTCACTAGGCTGGCAGCTGTGGTAGACACACAGAACTGCTCGGCATGCGCAAGGCCTTCAGCAGCCAGCTACCCACACCCACACCCGTCTCCTCAAACATGCATCATGTCTTCATGGGGAAAACAATAAAACCACTTATTTTGGGGGGCGGTACTAGGGATTGGACTCAGGACCTTGTGCTTTCAATGCAGGCAGCAGAACCACTGAGCTAAATCCCAAGGCCGTAAAACCCACTATTTTTGTATTGCTTTAACTGAGGCCAAAAATTTAACTACAAAGGAACAGAAATAGCTCCATATTATTAGTTGAAATAAACCCATTAACTCCTTACCTTTCTGTGAAGGAAAAGTTTTCTTTTTCAGTACTAAGCACTAACTATAAAATCCGATAGAGCCTACAAACTGCCAGGCACCCCCTCCCCATGGTGCCGTCACTCTCATACATGACAGGGACCTTGGGGTGCTTCTGCAGGGGGCTCCTTGGGAGTGTCCTGCAGAAGGCCCTGTGTGAGGCCATCCTGGGAGGAAGAGGCGGACAATTCGAGGCAGGGTGCACCGCTTGGATCCCAGCCCAGAAGTATTGAGAGGTCAGAGGTTGAGAAGAGACTGCAGGCCTAGCCTGTCTGTTAAGGGAACCCCCAGCAGGCCACACCCATCCCTTCCTGCTCCCACAGCTGCAGGTCTCAGTGCTGGTAATCGCCACAAAGACGCAAACCTAGGACCTTTCACTTTGCTTTTCAGCTCCTAGCTTGTCTTCCCTTTGCTTTGGGCTAAGCACCCGGCCAGGTCTGACAGGTACCTAGGGGGACCCCTGGGAGAGGGGCAGAACAGACTTTCTCTCAGCAGGCCTTTGCCCGCAGGCCCTGGCAGCTGCCAGGGTCCTCTGGACAACTGTGCTTGGTGGGGTGGTGCCTGTGAGTCTGACGCTCCAGCTGAACTCATGCAATTTGGCAGAGCCTGAAGGTGTGCAGCAGTACAGACTTTAAGGCAGGGCGGTCTGGGAGAGCCCCGCCCCAGAGGCTCGCTCAGGTGTCACACCTTAAAGTGCTTTCTACTTGAACTCCTGTGTCAGCCAATGTGGGGTGACTATTGTGTGCCCTAAATCATGCAAGTCCGCAACCACTTGGGTGGACCTCCTCCCGCCTGACAGGTCCGGGTACTGAAACTCCTCCCAGAATTTGAGTAACTAGTCCAAGATCACCCAGCAACCCTGAAGTTAGGACTGGAAAGAGAGGAGGCCCTCTGCACATCAGCAATCCAAGAGCCTGTGCACTGGTGGGCACTGGGGATCTCAGCACAGGAGCCCAGTGGCTGCGCATCAGTGAGACACTCGGTGAGTGACAGGAATGATATCTTGAGCCTCCAGAGGTGATGCACGCCTGTAATCCCAGCCTTCCAGGGGACTGAGGCAGGAGGATCACAGGTTCGGGCCAAGCCTGAGAATCTCAGCAAAACCCTTACTTAAAATAAGTAAAAAAGCACTAGGAGATGGGCATGGTGGCGCATGCCTGTAACTGCAACACTTTAGGAGGCTGAGGCAGGAGGACTGCTGAGTTGAGGCCAGCCTGGGCTATCAGGTTAAATTCAAGGCCAGCCTGAACTGCACAGCAAGACCCTGTCTCAAAAAACAAAAGCGCCGGGGATGCAGCTCAGTAAAAAGGCCCTGGTCCAATCCCCAGTGACACACACATACAGAGTGAATCCTGGGTGGGGGATGGTTAGCCCAAGAGGTACAGGTCTGCATAGCAGTCACTGCCACTTTATTCCTTTCAGAGACACTACTTCTTTCCAATAGTAAAACAGTGCCCTGGGGTGGAGTTCAAGGTACCTGTGTGCTGAGCGGGCACCAGGCCCTCAGCTGGGGGGGGACCATGGGGGACACACACCCACTAAAACAAAGCAAGTAACAGACCTAGCCCTCCATCTCTTTCTCCTTAGTTAATTTGGCTTGCAAAAAATGTACATTGGAACAGCAAATTCCGATCAGAGAGAAGAACGCAGTGAGGGAAATGCTGAGCTACCCTAATTCCAGGCGAGGAAACGGCCACACAGAGGCCCCGCGCCCGCCCAGCTTCTCCAGGCCGCTCGCAGCGGCGGCGGCACCGGGACCTACCGGGATCTTGGTGGGGTGCTGCTCCCGGATGAGCCGTACATCTTCCACTCTTTGTTCTGCAAAGAAAGGAGACATCCATCACCCAGGGCCGGGCAGCTTGTGGAGTTTCTGCAGCGCCACTGTCTCACGGCGCAGGCTCGTAGCTGAGGCCAGAGGTAAGGTGCAGTTAAGACAGAGCCCACGACACAGCTGACCAGGCAGCAGCAAGGACGCCAGCAGTGCACAGGTCTGGGGCCGAGGCTGCACTCCAGTTCAGGACACAGCTGCTGAGCAAGTCCACGGGGATTCCCTCTTTGTCCTCCCAGGGCTCCCACGTCCCGTGTGTCACTGTGCCTTCCTTCTCTGTGGCTCACTCTGGCGCAGGAAACTACTTTTTTTTCTTGTGTGTGGGTGGTACTGGGGATCAAACTCAGGACCTTGCATTTGTAAGGCAGGCGCGGTGCCACTGAGCTGCATCTCCGGCCAGGAACCCACTCTTAAGACCTGACTTACGCGATGCAACTTTCCCTGATCACTTCCCACCCTTCAATGGTCACGCTTAAGGGTAAGGAAGCTGCTCACAAGCAAGCACGTGGGAAGAGCGCCTTGCTTGTTTTAAATAATGTGCTTGGTGCCTAAAAGAACTGAAAGCTTAACTCACAAAGGACTGTTCAATACTTTTCTGAGAATCAATTTTCTTTTTCAGTATAATTACTTGTTTTCAACAGTTTTACTAACTTTCTGCACTACATAGGAAGAAGTTAAGCCAAGTCTATTCTCAGTAGCCTGACAATACAATAGAAGATGTAAACATGTCACTCATAGAGCAACATGAGAATGTATGATCGACGCGGTACTACTAAAACCACAGGGCAAAAACGTTAATAAAAATTGCCTCAGTTAAATGTTAACACCTTTTACAAACTCTACTGAAACAATCCCTATGTTCAAGTACAGCTGTATAAATTCTATTTTCCTACCCAACATTTTATTTCATGTCAGTTTCCCTTTTCTTGGGAGGTAGTTTGCTATGTAGCTCATGCAGGCCTCAGACAAAGTAATCCTCCTGTCTCAGCCTCTCCAGTGCTGGGACTGCAGGCGTGTGCCACCATGCCTGGCTAAGAGTTGTTTTCACTGAACTACAAGCTCAATGTTCAGGTTTCACTGCAGTGCTGGCACTGTACGATAAGTAAGTGGGTTTTGGGTTGAAGTTTGGCAGTTGGTCTCTAAAAGGTTTGCCATCATGTTTTAAGATTAATTACTAAACACAAAAACATAGAAGCTATAAACAAAGAGGATGGTAAAAGTCATGAGTTTGTACAAGTGCGTACTGTAGTCCCTGACTTACTTACAAACGAGTAAGTCCTATTTGTTCTAAATCCCACGAAGTAAGTCTTATACATCTCTGACACGAATATACATTGGAAAGCATAAAAAACCAATCACACACAAAAATACTGTAAGTCCTTGACTGTACTGCACTCTGTACACCGAGCATGCAGAAGCTCAACTGTGACAGCGTCCAGCAGACACAGGAGCTGCTTTCCTGATGTCTCCATCTGAGAAATGTTCATAACGTGAGGCCCATTTGTACCAGTTCCTAAATCAGGGACTTACTTACCTACTACTAAAAAATGCAAGGATGAAGATATATCTATCTGCTACAAACAGCAGACTGGCTGGGGTGGACAGTGCACACCTGTGATCCCAGCACTCAGGAGATCATGAGGCACAGTGATTTCAAGGTCAGCCTGGACTACACAGTGAAGCGAGCCAGCAGCTTTCATGCTTTATCCCTCTCCACCTCCTGCCAGCCCTCTCAGCCCTCCTACCCAGAACCCTGCTGCTTTAGACTGGCTTTTGCCTCTGTCCCAAAGAAGCTCCACTTTGTCAGTGTGGATTACTTTAGGGAGGAGAGTAAAATCCCTTCATTAATCTACTCTAACAAATAACTCTTTACAGACCCTGGAATGCATCTCACATACAGAAGCTTATCCCAGGTGAGCTCCGTGGCCCAGAGCTGTTCTGGCAGAGACAGGGTTGCCCCAGGCTACACAGAAGATTCCCTACTTAACAAAGCAAAATAGCTTACCCTGGTGAACTTAGATGTAGCAACCAGAGGGAAATGTTTGTTTGTTTTTTTTTTGTTTTTTGTTTTGAGACAGGGTCTCACTACTAGTTGAGACTGACCTGGAACTCACTATATAGCCCAGGCTGGTCTGCAATTCACAGTGGTCCTCCTGCCTCAGCCTCCCCAGAGTGCTGGGATTATAGGTGTGCACCACCACGCCCAGCTATGTTTTGTTTTTTTTTTTTAATTCTGTGGAACAAATTTATCTATTTAAATGAAGAAATGAAAAACAAAAGTTCTAACTGGGAGGCCTCAGAATCAGAAACCAGTGTTATCTTCACCCTGATTTATCCCCAGAATAAGGATGGAAAGGGAAAGGAAAATTATTTTCATGAGGTAACAAATGGAGGCACAAAGGAGGCAGCAACTTACAAGAGGTGGAGAGAGCAGCACCCAGGACAGCTCAGCAGCGCGGTGTCCCTGCCTGACAGCCACTCCCGGACGACGCAGGGCCACCAGCTACCTAACCACACCCTCAGCAGCCCTGGTGGGTGACACAGTAGGCAAGGACTCTCTTCCTCCCGCTTTCAGGTGCCACAGGATGTCTGCTGCCTGCCTCCTGCCACAGGTGGGCCAGGGCAGTCCCCTCAGAGAACAGGGAGGCCCGGAAGGTGCGGTCCCAGAGGCACATTAACAACGCCCATCTGCTCCAGGCTCATTCCTCCGGCCTGAAAAATCCTTAGAAAGCTGGGCGTGGTGGGGCTGCCTGTGATCCCTGCATTCAGGAGGCGGAGCAGGAGGATCAGCCTAACCCAAAAGGCAAATCTGGGGCAAGCCTAGTAAGACCCAGTCTCAAAACAACAACAGCCTCAAGCAGAGAGGAGACAGTGGGGGTCTAAGGTGGGTCTCACTTCGCTGACGTGTCACTTGCAAAGCTGCCTGGAGATACCCTGACATGTAAAGCACCTGACACACAACTCCCAGGATGTTTCACTGGATGACGTGGAACTGTAGCAAGTACACCGTCTCTTCCTCTGGCGGCAAAGGGACACCCAGCCCTGCGCTGAGTAACAAGGCTCAAGGTGGCAGACTACTGCCCGGGCGCCGGCAGGAACCCACTATCACCACACTCTACAGCCCTGGACAACAGACGCCCCGAAACACACGTATCCCCCGGGGCGCCTTGAGACCCGAGTCTACCCTCTGTGAGTCCCAGCAGAAACAAGCCTGGGAACCAGCTCTCTTAGATAAAGCAGAGAAACCAAGAGAAGCTGGAGCGAAGGCACATTTAAGAAGACTGAATCTACACTTACCTGCTCAATTTGAGGCGCAGGCCACCTGCACCGCACAGCCCCACCCACCCAGTCCCTTCAGCCAGAGGGAAGGGTGTTGCGTGTGCAGCAGCCCTAAATCCCCTCCCACTGTAAGAAGGCTCAGTGCTGCTCTGAGACAGCAAAGGTACCAAGTTTTAAGTCAACCTCAAGCCCACTCACTTGGAACGAGTAAGGCGGGACTTAGGCTCTCCACAGGGGTTCTCGCCAAGGAGCTGATGCTCCCCACTTACTTGGTGCGGATCTGAGAAAGGTCAGGGTCCACAGTCAAGTCTACCAATGTTGGAAACAAGGAAAGCCAGGAGCTATGAGATATCTGAACCGTTTCCTACAAAACAACTATTAAAGCCGGGCTTGACGGCACACGCCTGTAATCCCAGCACTCGGGAGGCTGAGGCAGGAGCGTCGCTGTGAGTTCAAGATCAGCCTGGGCTACATAGTGAATTCCAGGGCAGTCTCAACTACATAGTGAGACCCTGTCTCAAAAAAAAAAAAAAAAAA